CGAGGGGGCGCTGCCGGGGTCCCTGCGCCGCAGCCTGGGCGGGAAAACGGGCACGGGATTGGGGCAAAAACAGCCGGAATCGGGAAAAAACAACGGGATTGGGGAAAACGGGCACGGGATTGGGGCAAAAACAGCCGGAATTGGGCAAATAAACAACGGGATTGGGGCAAAAACAGCCGGAATTGGGAAAAACGGGCACGGCTTTGGGGCAAAAACAGCCGGAATCGGGAAAAAACAACGGGATTGGGGGAAAACAGCCGGAATCGGGAAAAACGGACACGGCTTTGGGGCAAAAACAGCCGGAATTGGGCAAATAAACAACGGGATTGGGGAAAAAACAACGGGATTGGGGCAAAAACAGCCGGAATCGGGAAAAATATCAGAGGGAAAACCAGCTGGAATTAGGGATAAACAGTCGGAATTGGGGAAAAAACAACAGGAATTGGGAAAAACAGTGGGAATTTGGGGGGAAAACAGCCAGAACTGGGGAAAAGCCAGTTGGAACTGGGGAAAAACAGCTGGAATTGGGGATAAACAGCTGGAATTGGGAAAAAAACAGCCAGAATTGGGAAAAAACCCCATTCCCATGGGATTTTTCCCCATTTCTGTGTATTTTTTCCCCGTTTTTTCCCGTTTCCGGGTGTTTTTACCCCAATTTTGCCCCCTCACCTCTCGGCCAGAGCCACGTGAGCCTGCGGGGCGCTGCAGGCACTGACACTGGTTTTATCCCCATTTTTTACCCCATTTCTGTGCAGTTTTTTCCCGTTTTTTCCCCGTTTTTCCCGTTTTTTCCTGTTTTTACCCCATTTTCCACCCCCTCACCTCTCGGCCAGAGCCACGTGAGCCTGCGGGGCGCTGTAGGCGTTGACACTGGTTTTATCCCCATTTTTTACCCCATTTCTGTGCAGTTTTTTCCCATTTCTGTGTATTTTTTTCCCGTTTTTTCCCGTTTTTTCCCGTTTCCGGGTGTTTTCACCCCAATTTCCACCCCCTCACCTCTCGGCCAGAGCCACGTGAGCCTGCGGGGCGTTGCAGGCGCTGACACTGGTTTTATCCGCATTTTTTACCCCATTTCTGTGCAGTTTTTTCCCGTTTTTTCCCGTTTTTTCCCCGTTTTTTCCCGTTTTTTCCCGTTTCTGGGTGTTTTCACCCCATTTTCTCCCCTCACCTCTCGGCCAGAGCCACGTGAGCCTGCGGGGCGCTGTAGGCGCTGGCGGCGCGCGTCAGCTCCTTGGTGATGACGAGCTGGGAGATGTCGATGCGGTTACAGAGCAGGTCTGAGATCACTTCCTGAGCGTGAGCCACGGCACCCATGGGGTCCCTGGGGAGAGACCCAAAATCGGCCCAAATCACCCCAAAAACTACCCTGAAATCACCCCAAAACTCCCCTAAAACCAGCTCCAAAATCACCCCAAAACTGCACCAAAAACTGCCCCAAAATCACCCCAAAATCACCTCCTGCGCGTGAGCCACGGCACCCATGGGGTCCCTGGAGAAACAGGCCCAAAATCACCCAAAATCACCCCAAAAACTGCTCCAAAATCAGCCAAAAACTGCCCCAAAAACTGACCCAAAATCGGCCCAAATCACCCCAAAAACTGCCCCAAAATCAGCCAAAAACTGACCCAAAATCACCCCAAAACTGACCCAAAATCAGCCAAAAACTGCCCCAAAAACTGACCCAAAATCAGCCAAAATCACCCCAAAAACTGCCCCAAAATCACCTCCTGCGCATGAGCCACGGCACCCATGGGGTCCCTGGGGAGAGACCCAAAATCACCCAAAATCAACCCAAAGACTGCACCAGAAACTGACCCAAAATCACCCCAAAATCACCCCAAAAACTGCTCCAAAATCACCCCAGAATCACCTCCTGAGCGTGAGCCACGGCACCCATGGGGTCCCTGGAGAAACAGACCCCAAATCACCCAAAATCACCCCAAAAACTGACCCAAAATCAGCCAAAAACTGCCCCAAAAACTGACCCAAAATCGGCCAAAATCACCCCAAAAACGGCCCCAAAATCACCTCCTGAGCGTGAGCCACGGCACCCATGGGGTCCCTGGGGAGAGACCCAAAATCACCCAAAATCACCCCAAAAACTGCCCCAAAATCACCCCAAAAACTGCCCCAAAAACTGACCCAAAATCGGCCAAAATCACCCCAAAACTCCCCTAAAACCAGCTCCAAAATCACCCAAAAATCACCCCAAAAACTGCACCAGAAACTGACCCAAAATCACCCCAAAATCACCCCAAAAACTGCACCAGAAACTGACCCAAAATCACCCCAAAATCACCCCAAAAACGGCCCCAAAATCACCCCAAAACTCCCCTAAAACCAGCTCCAAAATCACCCCAAAATCACCCCAAAAACTGCCCCAAAAATCACCCCAAAACCACCCAAAATCACCCCAAAATCACCCTAAAACTGCCCTAAAACCGGCTCCAAAATCACCCCAAAAACTGCCTCAAAATCACCCCAAAACCACCCAAAATCATCCAAAACTGCCCCAAAAATGCCCCAAATCCACCCCAATCTCGGCATCCTCAGGGGCCGAACCCGGCCTGAATTTTCCCTTTTCTTTCCCAATTTTCCCATTTTTCCACCACTTTTCCATTGGTTTTCACCATTTTTCACCATTTTCCCATTTTTAACCATTTCTTGCCATTTTTTCACCATTTTTTGTAATTTTTTCACCGTTTTTCGCCATTTTTCACCATTTTTTGCCATTTTTTCACCGTTTTTCACCGTTTTTTCACCGTTTTTCCCGTTTTTCCCCGTTTTCTCCCCATTTCCCACCTGCCCAGCAGGATCCTGCACAGCCAGGCCGTCACTCGGGGTAAAACCCTCTCATTTTGGGGCCATTTCCCCATTTTTCCCCATTTTTCAGCCATTTTTGACCCGATTTTCACCATTTTTTCACCGTTTTTCCCCATTTTCTCCCCATTTCCCACCTGTGCAGCAGGATCCTGCACAGCCAGGCCGTCACCAGGTTGGCAGCCAGGGTAAAACCCTCTCATTTTGGGGCCATTTCCCCATTTTTAACCATTTTCCAGCCATTTTTTCCCCGTTTTTCACCATTTTTTCACCGTTTTTCCCCGTTTTTCACCGTTTTTTCACCGTTTTTCACCGTTTTTTCACCGTTTCCCCCCGTTTTTCCCCATTTTCTCCCCATTTCCCACCTGTGCAGCAGGATCCTGCACAGCCAGGCCGTCACCAGGTTGGCAGCCAGGGTAAAACCCTCTCATTTTGGGGCCATTTCCCCATTTTTAACCATTTTTCAGCCATTTTTTACCCGATTTTCACCATTTTTTCACCATTTTTCCCCGTTTTCCCCCATTTTCTCCCCATTTCCCACCTGTGCAGCAGGATCCTGCGCAGACACGCCGTCACCAGGTTGGCAGCCGGGGTAAAACCCTCTCATTTTGGGGCCATTTCCCCATTTTTCCCCATTTTTCAGCCATTTTTTACCCGATTTTCACCATTTTTTCACCGTTTTTCCCCATTTTCTCCCCATTTCCCACCTGTGCA